AAGAACCAACTCTTGGCTTCATTGATTTTTTGTATCCCTCTCTTAGTCTCCATTGAATTGATTTCTGCTCTGATCTTTATAATTTCCTCCCTTGTATGAGCTTTGGGTTTGTCCTTCTCTTCTTTTATTTTTGGTACCAGGCATCGAACTCAGGTCCTTGCACTTGTGCAGCAGGTGACAAAATCACTGAGCTAAATCCTAGGCCCTGTCTTGCTCTTCTTTTTCTAGAAGCTTGAGGTTCAGCATCAGATTGTTTAATTGGGCTAGCTCTGTTTTCCTAATACGAGTATTCCCTACGATGAATTTCCCTCATAAGACTGCTTTCATTGTGTCCCATAGATTCTGATATGTTGCATATTGTCATTTAATTGTAGGAACTGTCTGATTTCTTCTTTAATTTGCTCTGTGACCCGTTGGTAATTCAGAAGCGTGTTGTTCAATTTCCATGTGTTTATGAAATTTTTGCAGTTTCTTTTGCTATTGATCTCTAATTTCATTGAACTATGGTCTGATAATATACAGGCGATAACTTCAGTTCCTTTGCACTTACTTAAATATGTTCTATGAGTGAGTATGTGGTCTATTTTGGAGCATGACCCATGTGCAGCTGAGAAGAATGTGTATTCTGATTTTGTGGGGTGGAACACTCTGCAAACATCTGTTAAGTTCATTTGTTCAAGAGTTTGATTGAGTTCTAGTATTTTGTTGCTTATTTTTTGTCTGGTTGATCTATCTATTTGTGACCATGGGGTGTTGAGGTCCCCCACTACTATTGTATTAGTGCTTATATGATTTTTTATTTCCATTTATATTTGTTTTATATAGTTGGGTGGACTAGTATTTGGTGCATAGATATTTATGATTGTCATCTCTTCCTCTTGGATTCTTCCCTTTATAAGGATGTAGTGTCCTTCTTCGTCTCTCTTAATCAGTGTTGGTTTGAAATCCACTTGATCTGCAAAGAGGATAGCTACTCCTGCTTTTTTTCAGGTACCCATTGTGTGGAGTGTTGTTTTACATCCTTTAACTGTCAGTCTGTGAGGTTTTTTTTGAATTAAGTGTGTTCTTCTTGAATTAAGTGAATTGTTGGATCTTGCTTCTTGACCCATTCTGCCAGTCTATTTCTTTTGATTGGTGAT